GAGAAAAGACAATCAATAGTCACCAACACTAGGATGACACAGATGTTGGAATTATCTGTCAAGGTTTTAAAAGCAGCCGTCATAAACTGCATCAATCAGCAATTACAAATACTTGAATCAAATGAAAAAATATGGTTTCAGAAAATAAATTTAAAAATATAAATTAAGACAAAATGGAATTATTATCGTGGTGCTAGGCATGAAACCCAGGGTGTCCCGTATGCTAGGCAAGTGCTCTACCATTGAGTCTACAAACCTCAGCCCCAAATGGAAATTTTAGAACTGAAAAAATACAACAAAATGGAAAACTCAATGGATGAGCTCAGCATTAGATGCCAAAGAAAACAAACAATCTGTGATTTTGAAGATAGAACAATAGAATTTATTCAATCCAAATAACAGAGAGAAAATAGACTTAAAAAATGAACAAAGGATGGGCGTGGTGGCACAAGCCTATAATCCCAGCAGCTCAGGAGGCTGAGGCAGGAGGATCAGGAGTTCAAAGCCAGCCTCAGCAACTTAATGAGGTTCCTAAGCAAATCTGGGAGACCCCGACTCTAAATAAAAATGTAAGAAAGGGCTGGGAATGTGGCTCAGTGGTTAAGTGCCCCTGGATTCAATACCTGGTACCCCCTCCCCCAAGAAATTAATAGTCTCAGGGACCTGCAATATTAACACAAAAGATCTAACATTACTGTTTGCATAGTCTTAGAGAGAAAGGGGAAAAAGCATAGGCCCATACAAGTACTTGAAAAAGGGCTGGGGATGTGGCTCAAGCGGTAGCGCGCTCGTCTGGCATGCGTGCGGCCCCGGTTCGATCCTCAGCACCACATACCAACAAAGATGTCGTGTCCGCCGATAACTAAAAATAAATATTAACTCTCAGAAAAAAAAAAACAAGTACTTGAAAAAATAATGGCTGAAACTGTCAATATTTAGCAAAAGACATAACTCTACAGATTAAAGAGGCATAGTGAAACCAAACAGGATAGAACCAAAAATATGCACAACAGGACACATAGTAGGACACATAGTAATCAAACTTCTTAAAGCTAAAGACAAAGATAGAATTGAGAAAGAGATGTCATCTGACTATAAGAGGAAAGCAATTTGAATGACAGCAGATTTCTTATCATACTAGGAAAGTCAGAAGGAAGTGGCACATTTTAAGGGGCTGGTGTTGTGGCTCAGCAGTAGAGCACTTGCCTAGCATGCATGAGGCCCTGGGTTCAATCCTCAGCATCACATTAAAAATAAATGAATAAAATAAAGCTATAAAAAAAGAACTGTTAAAATTCAATGTTCAGCAAAAGTATCCTTCAGGAATGAAGGGAAATCAAGACATTCTCAGACAAAGGAAAACTTAGAGAATCTATCACCAACAGAACAACTCTAAAAGGATAACTAAAAGAAATTCTTAAAATGCAAAGAATATGAAAGAATGAAGGAATTTTGGACTACTGGAAAGGAGGAAAGAACAACGAAAAGAGGAAAAACATGAGGAAATATAACAGACTAATTCTTCCCTGAGGTTTTACAAATGGTGTTTCAATAACATTGCCTGATGTGGTTCTAAAAGTGTGTAGAGGAAATATTTAAAACATAAATGGGGGAGATGAAAGGGACTTACATGTATGTAAGGTTTCTACACTTTACTCAAACTGATAAAATATTAATGGAAGTAGACTACAATAAGCCGTGTATATACAATATACTTCGAATAATGAACAAGTTACTCCAGGAAGGCAGGAGAGAGGAATCAGAAAAGAGAACAAAAAGAAAACAAAAAATTAAATGTCAGACACAGCCCTAAAATATTGATAATTAAGTGTAAGTGGCCTAAATATATCAACTAAAACAAAGATTGTTATAGTGGGTTGAATAAAAGACCCAGCTATATGATATAAGTTACTTTAATTATAACTGTGAGACTGAGCATATAGCTCAATGGTAGAGTATCATGCATGAGACCATAGGTTTAATCCTCAGCACTGAAAAAAATTATTTATACACACACACACACACACACACACACAGTTACATAGTTTGGTACAAAGCAAAAGATCAGAAAAAGATATACTTTTCAAACATTAATTAAAAGAAAGCATAAGCGCCTATGTTTTAGTATCTGATAAAGTAGCTCTTGGAGCAATAAGTTTACCAACAGAAAATGATGGCACATAATGGTAAAAGGGTCCATCAACTAATAAGACACAATTTTACATTTATACACCCCCAAAATGGAGTCACAAAATATATGATGCAAAACTTAATAAAACCAAATGGGGAAATAGACAAATCTACAATTATAGTTGGAGATGTAAACAACTTTCTCTCAATAATTGATAAAACAAATAGACATAAACCAGCAACACATAGAACTGTACACCATTAATTAACAGACTGTAGATGGTACATAGAGACACTTTACCATGTGCCTGTAGTCACAACCCTTGGAAAGTTTGAGGTAGGAGGGTTGCATGAGATCAGCCTGGGAAACCTAAACCCCATCTCAAAAACTAAACAGCTGGGCACAGTGGTGCACACCTGTAATCCCAGTGACTCAGGAGGTTGAGGCAGGAGGATCACAAGTTCAAAGCCAGCCTCAGCAACTTAGTGAGGTCAAAAGCAAATAAGCGAGACCGTGTCTCTAAATCTCTAAATAAGATATAAAAAAGGCCTGGGAATGTGGCTCATTGGTTAAGGACCCTGGGTTCAATCCCCAGTACCAAAAAAAAAAAAAAAAATCCCCCAAACCAGACCAAGAAATACCCCAAACACTCAATCCAGCAAAAGCAGAGTCCACACCACATTCTTTTTTTTTTTTTTTTTGAGAGAGAGAGAGAGAGAGAATTTTTTAATATTTAGTTTTAGTTTTCGGCAGACCCAACATCTTTGATTGTATGTGGTGCTGAGGATCGAACCTGGGCCACACACATGCCAGGCGAGCTCGCCACTGCTTGAGCCACATCCTCAGCCCCACACATTCTTTTCAATAAACTAATCAACAAAACATTTTCCAAAATAGATCATATTCTGTAGGCAACAAAAGAGACCTCAACAAATGTAAAAGAACTGAATGGTGTAAAAGAAAAGAGCAGTAGACTCAAACTAGAAATCAATAACAGAAATAGAACAGGAAAATCTCTAAACATCTGGAAACTATACAACACATTTGTAAACAAAACAAAACAAAAAAACCCCATAGGTCAAAGAGAAAATCTCAGGGAAATTTTAAAAATACATGAAAGTAAAATGTTCTGGTTACCCATTTTATAATCAACTAATTATAAGGAGAAATTTTCTATTAAGGGAGAAAAATATTTTTTAAAAATTATGATTTCTGAATTTGAATGTTGGTTTATGAAATTTTTTGATGATTCCGATTGTTACTGATGCTCTTGGGCATTTCTTGAAGCAATGATCACATGTTGTGCTAAATCTCTATTAAAACAATAAAATTAGGGCTGGGGATGTGGCTCAAGTGGTAGCACGCTCGCCTGGCACGCGCAAAGCACTGGGTTCGATCCTCAGCACCACATAAAAATAAACTAAAGATTGTGTCCAACTAAAAAATAAATACTTTAAAAAAACAATACAATTAGCACTTCTACTGAAAGAGACAAGACTTTTGTGGAATAAATATATAATTTATAAACTACTGCTACTTTGTCCAAATCACTGGCCCATCAAGAAAATACCTAATCATGTGCAAGAGTAATAAAGATCCATTGGTTCTGGTATTTTCCCAACTTTCTGTTGTAATAAAATAAACACAGCTTTACATATCATTTTTGTTTTTATGAAAGTGTATTTGTTAAAATAAAAGGTAAACATAAAATCCATAAATACAATAGTAACAAATTGTAATTTGATTTATAGCTTTTAAATATTTAAACACGCGAGACGTCTATTTCCATATCTTCTTTGCTTTAGGCCCAGCAAATGTTAGGGGCGGGTCTAGCACTAACCTCCTTGACACTTAAAACCTCAGCATCCTTTTCCGGAAAAGGGGGATAACACTCCCGAGCTCACAAAATTGGAATGAACCAGGCACCCGGTGCGTTAGTAACGGGTGCTTAAAAAATAAGGGTAATATAAGTTTTCTCTCTCTTTCGAGAAGGAAATCACTGTTCAAAGAATGTTTTGGGGTTTCTTTTTCTTTCTTTCTTTAAAAAGTCTACCTTTTCTTTTTAGGATTCAGGGGAAACGGGTGCGTTTGAAGCTCAGCAGTAAGGAAATAGTTGAAGACATCAGAGAGATGTGTAATGGGGAGGGACGGGATCGGCTCAGTGGGACTGGCTTAGGTAGTGGGCAAAGAGAAGAGGAATCCCCATCTACCTCCGCAGAAAAGGCTCCAGCTTTTGGAGGTGTGTGTGCCTGCATTTGCCTGTGTGTGAGGAGGGGATTAGCTCCGACTCTCGCAGATACCACCACGCATGACGAAGCTACTTCCCCCTCATGCGGTCCTAGGCGCACACGCGCCATCCACGGCCACGCCCGCACTTACTCGACACATACAGGGCATCAGAGGGTCTTGTTGCCATAGCGAGCAGCAGCGCGTGAGCCCGGCCGCCCCTCCCGCCCCTGGCAGAGCCCGGTCAACTCCCACTCTGATTGGCCACTGCTTCCTCATTATGCAAATCATTTGCGTAGACTCAGAGGCCAGCTGCCTGACGTCACCAAGCACGGGGGCTGGGGCTCGGGGCTTGGCTCCCGGAGCTCGGGCCGGAGCCCAGAAAGCGCGGCGCTGGGACCTCAAGCCAGACCCCAGCGTCCCGCCGCCTCGGCTCCGGCCCGCCCCGCCCCGGCCCCGCCCCCTTTCAACCCGCTCCACCCCTTCTACGCCCCTCCACCCGGACCCCGCCCCCTGGGCAGCCCCCCTCCCTCACCACCCGGGCCCCGCCCCCTCCCCCCTGGCCCTCGCCACCGGTCCAGGGAGGGGACGGCGGGACAGGCGGGACCGGTGGGACCGGCCGGAGGGCGGACTGGGCGGGGATATGGCCGCGGCGCCCGGAGGGTCTGCGCCGGCCGCCGGCCCGGGCCCGCGCCTTGGTTTCAGCACCGCGGACAGCGGCGTCGGCATGAGCGGGCTAAACCCAGGTCCCGCGGTGCCCATGAAGGACCACGACGCCATCAAGCTCTTCGTGGGGCAGATCCCGCGGGGCTTGGACGAGCAGGACCTCAAGCCGCTGTTCGAGGAGTTCGGCCGCATCTACGAGCTGACGGTGCTGAAGGACCGGCTCACCGGCCTCCACAAAGGTGCGCGGGGTCAGCTCAGCTCAGCCCAGCCCAGCCCAGCCCAGCCCAGCCCAACCCAGTCCAGCCCTGACCAGCCCAGACCTAATCCAATTAGAGTGCAGTCCAGCCCAACCCCAGTCCCAACCTCAGCCCCAACCCTAACCCTACCTAGAGCCAGTACAACACCACTCCATTACCTGCCCCACCTAAGCCCTGTCCCCTCCCTAGATCACAGAAACCCCAACCAAGAATTTTCCCTGGGGCATCCTCCACTGATCATCACTCTGGTCCGCTAACATGTTCTTCACATTTACCACCAAATTCCTACCCTTTGCCTATCATATCCCAATAGTCCCTGCCTTTCAGTTGAGCCTCTTCACCAATGCTCGCATCAGACATCCCAAATCCTGGAATTTGGAAACTTATTCCATCTTCTAGCTCTTGAATTACACACGATCTTATGAAACCTGAGCCCAAGCATTCCTTACCCCTCCACTGGGTGCCACATCACTCAGGCCTAACCACTCACATATCTTAGACTTGCATCCCTCCTCTGGCCTCCAACTCCAACCAACCCCCAGAGCCTTCATTTGACTCTTAGATTGTCAAACTCTTCCTTTCTTCCCTTTGAACCCAAACTCTTCCCTTCTTCAGGACCCAGGCTTGTCTAACTCACAAAATCCAATTTATTTCCCAGGAGGCTCTCAGTTCCAAATGCCACCCCCTCTCAATGTTTGACAATAATCCCAATCTCTCCTACTCTTTGTCAGAATCCCAACACTCTATCTTTTCTGATTTGAGTCCACAACCCTGACCTCAGCTGGGAATGCCACCACCCTGTGTCCCCTTTATCTTAAGTTTCCCCTTAGCTGAATCCACACTTCTACCTTCCTCTAATCTCCCTTTCTTTACTCTTCTTTTCTCCTTCCCAATCCTCTTGATGGCCTACTGCTTTCCTTCTCTCACAGGCTAGTCCCAGATCAGAGCACTCTTAAGGTGGGTGAGGCTGAAGAGGAAGAAGGGGAAATCTTCTCCTTGTCCTTGCTAAAAAGACAGAAGCACCATGGTCCTGTATGGCCACACCCCTTTTTTCCTGTAGAGAGAGGGAGGAGGCTTGTTTACATGCAGAAAAGTCTGTCCAGGCTGGGCCCGAGTAACAGAGCCAGAGTCATGTGCCATTCATTGACAGGGAAAGGAGAGAGAATTTGAGGAGAAACAGTTTGTGGTTTCAAGGTTTTGATGGTGAAGGATCACCAACTGTCCTTAGTGAAATTCCTAAGAGGAGTGATGGGCCTTGGTTAACAACTAAAAGTAAATTCCTAGGGATTGAGAGCTGGAATCAGATTGCCACCTCTTTTCACTTGAAAGACCTTGGGGGTTCCTTGGCACACTAATATAGGGGCTTCAGGAAAATGCCTACAGAAGGCCAGGACTGTCATCTGGGTGGGGGTACAGCTTCCACCCTTTGGGTTGGGGTTATGTTAAAGAGTCCATAAAAGGACAATGTCACACCATCCAGACTCCTTATGATATAGCTTAATTGTCTGTCTGTCTGTTTTTCTACTTATATTAACTTATTTTCTTATTTTTCTGGACATTGATTTCAGCATGTAAGTACAAAGCTAATCTTTGTAGGCTATCTTTATAATAAAGGAAGTGTATAGAATACCTTTAATTCTCATTCTTCTCTCTCAAACATTATTAGAGGCTCTGAACTGTTTCCTCATTCTCTCTTGCCCCATTTAGCTTTAATTCTTTCTGGTCTCCCCCCCACACACACACACATTCATCTGTCCCTCAAGCTATACTTCTCTGGATTGCTACCCTTCCATTATTCTTCCTTCTATTCCAGGTAGTCCATAGGCTCCTTTAAGTGGCAGCTGAGCCCCCGAACCTTTCAGACAGCTTTCCCCTCCCTACACCTGATTCTGACATCAGATGATATGGTTTTGTGGCAGAAGATGGAGTAGTGATGTAAGAGGAATCAGGTGTTTGTCAATTTATTTCCAACAAACCTGCATCTTTCCAAGGCAAGTGTTGCCTTGCAAGGTGATCATGGAGGGTCTCCAAGTCAACATTTTCCATACCTTCTCCACAGTGACAGTGACGTCTGAAAGCTAAAGTGACTCATTTTCCTGTTGATGGCTGGGTACCGATGGAGGCAGCCACAGTGTCTTGAAAACAACCCCAATATGAGAGTTAGAAAATTCCAAATGCTGGTTTGGTGATGTAGCTCAGTGGTAGAGTGCTTGCCTGGCATGTGTGAGGTCCTAGTTTAGTTCCCAATACCAAGAGAGAGAGAGAGAGAGAGACAGAGAAGAGGGGGAAAAAGGAAGAAAGGAAACTCCAAATGCTGCCCTCCTACTGACACATTCTCTGGGTTTCAGTTTCCCCACTGATGTGATAAGAGCCTGGCCAGGAGTTTTCTGGAGATACTTTGAATGGCAGATAACTCACCCATCTTAAGGAGAGAGCTCCACAGAAGAAAATGTTCCCATTGACTTTTCTAGTCTACTGAGGACTAAATGGGAAACTACATTAAGCTCCTAATGGCTTCCCACATCCACTTTCTCTTCCTTCAGCCCCTCTCCTTCCTATACTCAAAAGGCTTTTTTTAAACACACACACACACACAGAGATCTTATCATATCACTAAGACCCTTTAGTGGTTCCCCATTGCTCTCAGAAAAAGTTCAAAATCTGATTGAGGCCTGTAAAGCTATATATGACCTGATTCTTGCATATCTCACTAGCCACTATCCCTGTTCACCAGCCCCCAACCATACTAGCCTCCTGTCCATTTCCCCAACACTCTAAATGCTTGGCTGATACTTCATATATGCTTTCCCTCTGCCTGAAATAATCACCAGCCTCTTATCACTTGCACTTGGTTCAAGGACTCAATGTTCTTGTTCTTGAGGACTCAGTGTCTTCTTTGAGACATTCTCTAACCCTTTGGGCTCAGTTGTCCCTCATAATTTGTTGTCTAATCCACGTGAAAGAAGAGAATGTATCTATCGTGTTGCCTCTCTCTCCCCTAAACCATCAAAATACTCTACCATAATGAGTAAGTATTCAGTATTTTCTTTTTAAAATTTTTTTATTATTTATTTTTTAGTTGTAGTTGAACACAATACCTTTATTTTATTTATTTATTTATTTATTTTTATGTGGTGCTGAGGATTGAACCCAGAGTCTCGCATATGCTAGGTGAGCATTCTACTGCTGAGCCACAACCCCAGCCCCACCCCCACTGTCAGTATTTTCTGAATGAATGAGTGCTCATGAATGTTTAAAAAGAAAAGCTGTCTGCATCAGTGCTTCTTAATAGACTATTGAAACAAAAAAAAAGAAAGAAGGGTAGGCCTGTTCCTCTGCCTCATTCCAGACTTTCCCTGCCCCATATCTCTTGACCCTTTTAGAGGAGTCAGATTTGGTGTACAGTAACCCTTTGAGAGGCCCTATCTTGAAGCCCTGGGAGAGTTGAGAGATCAAGCTCTTGGATAGGATTAGAGGGTCCCTGAAAGCTCCCACTTACATAAAGCCCTTAAACTAGAAACATCTTCCAAGCCTCAAATTAACCCATTCCCCAGCTTCAAGTTTAGTAGAGGGAGGTCCTAGGCTTAGCCTCAACCCTGCTCTTCCTTTTTTGCCTCCTCTCATCTGAAACTGAGTTGGGAAGAAATTGAGGCTGATTCTAGGAGACTCAGTGAGCCTGTATCAAAAAAGAAGGGGGAGTCTGGGTTAAAGATGAAGGCAAAGCTGCTTATGGAGGTTTAACCCCAACAGACTTACAGCTGGAGTGGGGAGGGGAGCTGTGGGATTGTATGAGCATGTGACAGCGTGTGGGTACATATGTTCCCTGGGCAGGAGGGCAGGAGCAAATGAGAAGGAGTCAGAGATATCAGTCCCCAGGCATATAAGGACCCTCCTTTCAAAGAAAGTGGGAGGCAGAAAAGTCTACTCAGAAGTAGTGTTCTTGTTAAAAGGAGAATGGCCTTAAGTTTGTTGAATTAATGGGGTGTTTCCAACAAGAGTATTTGGGGGTTTTAGGAAACAACCTGAGCCAGCCTCTTCCTCCTCAGGCTGTGCCTTCCTCACCTACTGCGCCCGGGACTCTGCTCTCAAGGCCCAGAGTGCACTGCACGAGCAGAAGACCCTGCCTGGGGTAAGTTCACCAAGATTTGGGGGTTGGAAATCACCTCAGCTGGGGACAGTGCCCTATATGCATGCCAAACCAGCAGGTGGAACTGATTTGGGACAAAAGACTAGAAGCAGAATCTTCTTTCTAAGAGAGGGCTTACCTATGCCATGAACAACTGCAAGTTCTGTGTTAAATACCCATTCTTCTGGCTAGAAAATGGGCTCAAGATCCTTGGGTCAAATATTCCACCCCACCTCTTATGAGAGGAATCAATATTGTGGGCTAAACTAGAAATTGTTCACACTGGCCAAAATCATGGCTTTGAGTGTTCTTTGTCATTGGAGTGAACATGTATGTAGTTACATGGGAGAGAAGATCTGCTAGGCTATTACCTCATTTTCTCCAGTTCTAGGATCCCTGATAGTACTTCCCTCTGGTCCTCTTTCTTCAATGGTTTTTAGGGATGCCTTGACTCACCCTGATTGTCCTTGCTCCACACTTCAAACTCTTGGCTAAAGTTAGGGGAGATCTGATTCTACAGGCAAAACTAGGCTTATAGGTACCAATCACATCTGGTCTGTTCTTGGCTAATGAATAATCACTGGACAAAAGTAAAATGGACCATGTATATATGATATACGAAAATACATCCTACTGTCATGTATAATTAAAAAGAACAAGTAAAATTTGTTTTAAAATAGCAAAGTGGAATCTACTGCCCATATGGTAGAAATAAGAAGTAACCATTTAGAGCCAGCATGGGTTACCAAGATCAAGTCATCCTGCTAAGCCTCGTTTTCTCTTGTCCCATGAGTGGTATGGCTAGAACAAGAGTACTATTCAAATGCCATGGGCAGGCCAAACCTGGGACTTATGTCCATTCTAGGTCTCAAAGTTAAGAGGGTTATTATCTTACCAGAAAGAGACCTGGATAAAGTGAAGGCATAAACTATCACCCCATGATATACATGGTCCACGGGGTGATAGTTTGAAGGAATTGGGGATATGAAATGGAGAAGATAGGATCTAATGGGGACTTTAATAGGGGGGCATCACAACACAATAATTAAGAATATTGGTTTTCAAGCTTTACAGACCTAGATTTTGATCTCAACTCTTTCATTTACTTATAATCTTAAACTTCAGTTTCCTCATTGTCAGGAGTGAGTACTAACACCCCATACACTGGACTATAGTGAGAAAAAATTGAGGCTTAGCAAGTGCAGATTAAGATTTCAATAATGGGCTGGGGTTGTGGCTCAGTGGTAAAGCACTTGCCTCATACATATGAGACACTGGGTTTGATCCTCAGTACCATGTAAAAATAAATAAATAAAGATCTAAAAATTAAAAAAAAATATTTCAGTCAGGCATAACTGTCCACATGGAAAGAGGAAAAGCTGGGTCAATCTACAAAGAGAAATTCTGAAGAGGGATTTGGTTTTCTACAGGTGCCCCAGACATCAGGATCAGATCAGGGAGTATAAGAAACAGATACTAGCATCAACTCAGTTTAATGAAGTCACTTCTGTGAACTGAAGCTGTCCAACAATGGAACAAGCTTTGCCAAGAACTGATCAAGCTGTTTATCAGTTTGTCTTGCTGACTCTCCTAGAACCAATCTTAGTAACTGAAGCAATCTGACTCTTGGGGACTTAGTGCCAAGTAACACCAACCCAACACCATCACCAATGCTCTGTATGTAGGCTGTGGAGTCAGACAAATATAGTGTGGATCCAGGCCCTGTCCTGTGACCTTGGGCAAATGTCTACTGCTATGCCTAAGTTTCTTTACCTGTAACTCATAGGGTTATAATGGTTGTGTGAGCTAAGTGCTTAGCATAATTCTTGGCAGAAAATAAGCACTCAATATAGGTTAGCTGGTGTTAGTATAGCTCTAATAGTAACAGCAGCATTAGTTAAAATCGGAGAAGTCATCATTGTATCTAACCATGGGAGCAAATGACTTCTGCTGCTAGAACTGAGAGTCAGCAAGACAAACTAATATCACTGGAAAAAAGCAAAGTGGACCATGTATATATGATATGTTCAGAGACAGAAGGAACAGGTGGGTGTGAAATGGAGTGGGACCATGGGGGAGGTTCCACAGGAATATGGACTAAGCTGGAGAGATCTGCAGAAGGCAACAATTGAAGAGGAAACTCTGAGTGCCAGACTAAGGGATTTGGATTTTACCCTAAAAGTCAATGTGAGGCGTGTGCATACACACACACACACACACACACACACAAATAGTAAGATGAACTTTTGGATAAAAATCTTCTCAACAGATAGGCGTAGTGGCACATGCCTGTAATCCCAGCAGCTCAGGAGGCTGAGGCAGGAGAATCAAGAGTTCAAAGCCAGCCTCAGCAACTCAGCAAGACCCTGTTTCAAAATAAAATATAAAAAAAGGACTGGGGATGTTGCTCAGTGGTTAAGTGCCCCTGGTTTCTATCCCTGGTAGAAACAAACAAATAAACAAAATTTATCAAGAAGCCACAGTGCTCCACTAGGTCAGAGGTGCCTGGAGAGCACTATAAAGATGAGAGCAACTGAGATAAGGGCTGTGAAGTCTGAAAACACTGGGAGAACTGCTGGGGAAGAAAACAAAATATTAATAACTAACAGTTATTGATATGGGTGTTCATGGTAGTTTACATGTTCTAAGTCATGTAATCCTCTATGAAGAAGGTATTATTATTGGCATCCCCATTTCACACACAAAAAAAGAAAACTGAATCTTAAAGATCAAGTGACTTGCCCAAGGTCTTGTAGCTACTAATGGGAAGATCTGGGATTTGAGAAGTTAGTTTGATTCCAGAACTCATTCACGTAACTTCCGCACTGTTACAAGAGTCAACCTAGTGGTAGACAGGGTTATTGAGAGGATGGCAACTGGGGACATCCTCTCACACCCTTCCATCTGCTGGCCTCTAGTGTGCCTCAGCTTCCTCTAGGTTCTGCCAGTATTGGCTTTATTCATTCCCCTCTCCACTTAACAAAGTGAATTAATATTTAATTATTCTCCTAAATGAAAATCAATGGCTATGTTGGCCACCCTGGCAAGGTCCACTGTTATCAGTCTTTCCTCCTAGCCTGTCAGGGACAGCAGTCACCTGGATTCAGGCCCACCAGCTTAAGAAAGAAATGAGGGCCCAGCTCCCTAGAGGCACTGGGTCCTGGGCACAGCTGCCATCTGCTGGAGAAGCAAAGATAAGGCATCAATCTGAGTTTTTGCTGGAGTCAGGCATAATTATCAACATGGAAAGAGGAAAAGCTGGGTCAATCCCCAAAGAGAAAGCCTGGATCTTCAGGGTGATTTCATGGGGTCTGCTCAACTGAGACCTCCTTTTTGCTCCCCTCCACTTTCCCACTGCCAACTTCCAACACCTATCAAAGCTTGGTTCCCTACTCAGGACTTCTGTCAAACCTTAGTGATGTATCACACTTGGCCCCATCTCGGGTAGCATCTGCCCCATAAAGCTGGAGCTACTTCTAAAGTCTCACTTTAGGCTTCAAAATATACCCAAAGAGAGTGAGGCCAACTTCATTCCTACTTTCTGGGATTCCAAGAGTGCCCCCTTATTCATCTGTCTCTCTGCCTATGGTATCCCTTCTTTGGGGTACCTATTCCTCAAACACTGTGCAAGAGGTAGACATAACTGGTAGGGGAGTACATTTGCTTTTACAGGTTGTGCTCTGCACTAAATAACTTGGGTGGAGAAGAAAAATGTAAACTAAAATTCAGCCATAGTCTATTGGCCAAACCATACATATTATTATTTCAAGGCTGTATCCACCCAGAAAAAGGGGAACAATTTTTCTTACTTATTCCCCTGGTTGGAGAGTGCTTTTAGTAATTTATACAAAGGCACTGTAAGTGCATGCAATCACTCAGTGAAGGCTTTGCTCTCAAGGATCCCAGGAATAACTCAACATGTCTCATTAGGGTTTATGTTAGACATGTAAAAGAGGCATCAGGAGTGGAGAGGAAAGAGCAACTTTGCAGAGGAGAGGTTATCTGAGCTGAATCATGATCATGTTTCATTATGTTTGAGGGTCTAAAGACCTAAAAGACAAAGAAGTGTTGAGAATAATATGAGAATGGGCAGGAAGATGTTCAGCAAAGGGGATTGAGACTTTTGTGAAGAGTATTGTGGAGAATATTGGGAATGAGTTTTGACAGTCAATCAAAGATCTTGGGCTTTATCAGGAGGCTTACAATAGGGAACAATAGGTGAATTTAAGAAGGGAAGAGTTAGGGACTGATTTTTAAAAGATTTCTCTAGCTACAGTGCAAAGGTTGGGTTGAAGAAGGAGTAACACTGGAAGCAGGATGACCTTTTCAGACAATGTCACTTGAGCATAGGCTAATGATGATGTATGCTGATATAGAACTGGGAATAGGGCAGGAATGTGGAGGACAGGGTGGACTTTAAAGCTATATAAGACATCCTTAGAGATAGTAGGACCAATAGGACCAGATAGCAGATTGAATTAGAGGAGTGGGTGAGGAAGAAAGGAGTGCAAAAGGTGATGAAATTTGTGTTTGTTTTTGATCCACTCTTTCTTGCATCTCATAGCACTTCTCCCAGACTCAGCAATGGTCCCTTCTCTGGGGAATTTGTGATAAACTCTATTTTATGGGAAGAAGGAGCACTGAGGGTACAAATGCTGAGTGGAGAAGGAATAGTTGATAGTGGTACAGAAAAATCAAAAGAGCTGAAGTGGGCAATGTGGAGCACAAAGGCAGAAATTTTAGAGAAGCCAAGCAGTGAGTTGAGGCAGGGTCTTGTTTTCCCTTCTGATTTCTGGATCAGAAGCACCAGGACCTTGTGCACATCTGTGCTACCCATGACCTTCCCCTTCCATTGCCTAGAATAGGTTGTTCTCTCCTCTCTTCCTTGATTTCTCCTTCAGGGACTTGAAGAAGCCATGGGCTCCTCACCTGAGAAACTCTCAAGGGAATAGGTGTCCAGCTAGGGAAAGAGCTCATCTGAAGTCACACAGCAAGTTCTTGGCTGAGGAACTAATGCCCTCTTTTCCTCAAAGGGGAATCCCGATTACCTCACTAACTCCCAGATCCCTCCCCTGATGATGGCAGAAAGAAAGGCAGGTTAGGGTTGCCCAGGAAGCTCATGTGGGCAATTCTCTTTCTCTTCTAGCTACAAACAGAATCCTGGATTTCCTCCACAACCATTGTTCTATGGGGACTGGGGTTTAAAGCCCTGGGGAGTACTACTATGTATTCATCCTCCTGGGCTTACCTCCTTGGGACTTCTCTGCACCTCCAAACTCCCAAACAGCCAACTTCCCCAATTCCTGAGCCATAAACCTGAGTCAGACAGTATTTTCTATTTCCCTTTGTTCCACATCCAAAACAACTATATAACTATATAATTTGCCATTTACTTCTACTCTGGTCCAAGTCCCCTCACCTTCTACCTGTATTGTTGATCTTCCTATTTCGAGCTTCCTTTCCAAGTCTTTCTCTGTATAGTGACAACTTATGGGATGCTCCATAAGACAAAATTGACAAAATCATTTCCCTACTTAAAGTCCTTCCTGGATATTTATTGCCTTTGAAATACAACAAAATCAAAGTTCTTTGATATGCTTTTCACAGCCTGCCCTGCCCCAGCCCCTGGGTGGATTTCAATTTCCATTAACACATACACACACACACACACACACACACACACCCCTAATAGGCACATAAATGAACAAACAAAACTAATCATATCTGATGTACCTACTAATATCTAGCCATTGTCATTTTCACCACAATCCTGAAGGACAGGACCATGATACCCTTTTTACAAATGGGGAAACTGAGGCTCAGAGAACTTGAAGAAGTTGCCAGCGATGTACCCAGGATTTAAATCCACATCTGACTCAAAAGCAATTTGCCCTACCCTGGCTTTGTCTGTACTAATGTCAGAAACCTTACTCCTATAGACTTGCAGCCCATATTCCAGGCAGCTAGAATGCTCAGCTGTCAACCTACCTCTCCAATTATCTCCACATGGCCAGTGACCCTAGGCCTGTAAGACTCATGTCAAAAACTTCTTCCTCAAGGAGCTCTTCCTGAGTCGTGTCAGCCTCTCCAGCTGGAGTCAGCCTAGCCCACAGCTCTTCACCTTGTAGTGTGTCAAGGCCCTAGTCCCTCTATGCCTCATTATTTGTGTTCCTGACTTAAGAATGGAGTTGAGAAGCACAATATAAAAATCCTGGACTTCCCTGTCAGATACAAAACTGGGAGAAAATCTCAGCTCTACTACTTACTCAATCATGTGATCTCAGACAAGTGATTTAATGTCCCTCAGCCTCAGTTTTCTCATCTGCAACATGGGGACAATGGTATTATTTTACTGTACAGTTGAAAGGATTTGGAGACAATGTATGTAAAGTACCTGAAAAAGGGCCTAACACATGATAGGTTCTCCAGAAATGATGATATTATCTTCCTCTCTATGAGCCAATGAGGAGAGGGTCCTCATCTAGGTCAACATTGTTTCCCCTGAAGGGTCCAACCTGGGACTTGTCACAGAGTTTAGGACATGCTGGTAGCATGCCTAAGTGTGGAAGAGAGGCTTCCAGCCTCAAGGACTGGACCCTGCCTGGCCCATGAGGGAATGTGTATGAACCACTCAATGCCCACTCTCCATCAAAGGGTGGTAAAGTGGGTGGGAGGAGGGAAAGGGGCATCCCCCAGAGCACCAGTGAGCACCATCTCCCAGGAAACTCAGCCTGGGAGGCAGCTGCCATGGAAACCACTGCTGTCACATGTGCTCATCACTCTAGGCTCCAGAGAGAAATTCTCAAGATCTATTTAAGAACTAATAAAATAATGATGGTCTTGCTCACCCTCACTGCCCTCCACCCCAGGCTTCTACCCTCCCTACCAAGCTTCTCCCTGCCCCTCCTGCATCCTCTTCCTGCCCCCTCATTCCTTCATTTCCTTCCCATGTCCACCAGTTATTCTCTTTCCTTGCCCTTTTCTAGGTCTGTCTCCTACTTTCTTTCATAATTTCTGTCTTTCTGTATTTCTTCATTTCTCCCTGTGTCTCTTGCTTTCCATGGCTCTGTCTCTTGGTCTCTCCTCCACAATCACAGGTGGCCATGCTCAGGGACGGGTCCTGTCCTCCTGGTCCCTGTTCCAGGACAGTCCAGACCTGTCCAGCTCGCCCTGATCTGCTTGGATTGATCTGTCATCCCCTCTAGACTGCAACCTGAGTCCTGTCGGTGTTTCGGCCCCCACCCACAGCCTGGTACACTGCAGGTGCTACACCACCAGAGGGTGGGTGTGTCAGAGCCCTGGGTGGGAGGGGGATTGCACTGGTTCAGGCTTGGCCTGTTTTCCTTTCCTTTCCTTTTTTTTTTTTTTTCAAATAAGTCCTCCCCACCCTCCTACCTCCAAATTTGATCCAAAGGAAATTGCTCAACTGTGACTGCCAGGGCGTTACCATGGTTACTGGGTAGCACTTGTGGCTATGGTAACAGGAAGCTGCCTGTTGTCTTGGCAACAAGCACATTGATAGGAGATGGAGTGGCCCCTGATTGGTGCAGAAGCAGTGCATTTCCTGAGGGGAGGGGGTCAGATCATCACCTTCTCAGGCCAGATGGGCATCAGTACCCCTTCCTCCATGAACTGGAAGGCCGCTGTTCTTCCTCCCGGCACTCAGCTGTCTTCCCCCCAACAATAATTCCTTACATCCCACGCACCCAACTCTTGGCAGTTTACCAAGACCTTTTGCATCCCCATTACCTCATGTGATCCCCACAACACCCATGAGAGGAAGGTGAGATGGGGATTCAATCATGAATTCACTTAGGGTGGTTGGGGGATGGGAATGTGGGGGGTATATATTAAAATCACCTAGGAGTTTTTTCAGAGTATACAGTCCCCTAACTAATCTGAGTCTAATATGGTTCCCAGGTGATTCTTAACCACCTATATAATCAGGGAACCCTTGAATTAAAAGGTAAAACTGGTTGGAGGGGGGAAAGCAATGGATGGAGAAGTCAAGCTGCTTTCCAGGTTTAGAGCTTGGGTGATTTGGATGGAGGATCAGGTTTGGGTGAAAAGATGAGCTCTGGTTTGGGTATGTTGAGTGGAAAATGCCAGTGGGCCTTTCTAGTCAGGATGTCCAGCAGGATATTAAGCAGCTGGGAAAATGGGTCTGAGGATCAGGAGAAAATGTGGGCTGTTGATGCGGAGCTCTGAGTCATCCTTGTATGGATAGTAGCTGAGGCTGTGTGGATGAGACTATCCAGGAAAATTAGGAAGAGTGAGACAGGCAAGAGCCGAGGAGGGTGACTTAGTGAACGCCAGCATCTTCAGGAGAAGAGAAACCCAGGCAGGGGATGGAGAGGTGAATTCAGAGACTATAGTGATGCAGAAGCTTGGGAGAGTTTTCCTTATTTGATGAATGGAATTTCAGAAAAAGAGAAGCTTACTTAAAGTCAGACAATCATGAGATGGCAGGGCTGGGCATAGATAGCACTAAATATGACCCCCATCTTGTTTAATCTAAATAATATTTAACATTATTTTCTCAGTTTTATATGTAAAACACAAATGTACAGTTTCAATTAAACCCTCTCACCCAATTCCTCTTACTCAAAGTCTTTAGATGAGTCTAGGAGCCATGGAGACAGGACTTACACAGCCCAGCCCAGAAAGCAAAGCAGAAGAATCTTTTTAGTTGCCCCATTCTACCTGGTGCATACCACTGAGCTTCCTCCCCCTCATCCCTTCAGGTCTCAGCACTTTCTAAATTCCTGGGTTTAAGGAAGGGATCTTGGAGAAAATCTACAATCCTAGTAGGAGTGGGGGAGTGTAGAGTTCAAAGGCACTAGGGCTCAGATCTTGAGGAGTCCAGGGGAGGATGGGGGTCCCAGGACCAGGCAGTTATGCTGAATGGGTATGTTGGTCCAATGTCTTTCAGATGAATCGTCCGATCCAAGTGAAGCCGGCTGCCAGTGAGGGCCGAGGAGGTAACTTTCCTGTCTGCTGAACCTCAGGGTATCACCCATGTCAGGGACTGTGGGCCCACTCCTGGAGTCAGTCCTACTCATAGCTGATTAATAAATACCCCCTGGGTCAGGGGCCCAGAGTTGTTCAGCCCCAGAAACAGCTCAGCTATCCCAACTCAGACCGAGGAGGAAATGGGAGCCCAAACCCAGAAGATGCAGAAAGGGCAGATTCAGATACCGGGGACAGAGGAAGGAAGCTTTTGCCACCTTATCCTTGGAGAGCAGTTGCTCCTGTTTTGCCAGGTAGAAATTATACATTTGTTTGAAAAATCAGTCTGGGGTTATTCTGCCTTTCCAGATTCTTCTGATTCCAGAAAATCAGTCCACTCTGGGTTGAGGCCATTTATCCCTTCACTGTACTTGCTTGGTTACTCTTGATAAACAATCAGGATGGGATGACAGACTTTGCAAGCCATAATAAAGAACTTGATTTTATGTTGAGGATCATAGAAAGTCTCCAAAAGTTTTTTAGAGACTATTTCCTGGTAGAGAGACTACCTCTCCTTTTGAACAGGAATGGTAGAGATCCAGACTACCAGCTGGATAGTTGCCAAGATGGAAATGCAATAATGACTTCTTTTGTCGGTTCTTGGTGTCTTTCTCACCCTTAGGTCTTGTATCATCCCAAGATATCTGCCTGTAGTATATCCTTCATTGACATCTGCTGATCTCTACCTTGAGTAAGACTCTCTCCATGTCTTACCCAAATCAGCCATGGCTTTGTTAGATAAAAGAAGCTGCCAAGATCAGGAAGAGAAAGGAACCCAATTGATATGAACATTTATTGACCCCTACTAATTCTGCACACCTTCTCAGACTTCAGTTCAATGTCTACACTCACAAGGGCTCTGGCAGCTTCATGGTTCCATTCTGGAATATTCCCTTCATCTGTTCAGATTCTCTAGGCTTTAGTCTCTGACTCTTGATCTTTGGTCAAGATGCTAAACCCCCATACTTTGTCTTGGAGAAAAATTTTCAACTTTCCTCCACCTTCTTTCTCTCTATCTCTGTCTCTCTCCCTCCCTCTCTCTCTCTTCCTCCCTCCCTCCCTCATTCTCTCTCTCTCTCTCTTTCACACACACACACACACACACACACACACACACACACCCTCCTTTCCCATATCATTCTTGCCAGTCATATTTTTAGATGTACTAGGCTGTATAAAAATCTTCTGAATCACATGTTCTAAGAATTTCTGCTCCTTGGGAAGCTCTATTAGCCATCAAGGCCACTGTTGGCCATATTCTAACCTATAAACACAAGAGAGTCCCACAGATAAGTCACCCAAAAGTAAATTAATAAGCTGAGAAGCAGACAGGTTCATCTGTAGTTCATCTAACCATCCAACCAACATCTTCTGAGTAACTTCCTCCATAAAAAGAATATAATGGTGAGCAAGGCAGTTCTGGCACTTAGCCTCATGGAGCTCCAGGCTATGAGGAAAAGGGGTCACAATTGGGTGTGATCAATGTTTCTCAAGGGAAAGTGCAAGGGGATTATGGGATTACAAACAAGGTGTACCTAACCCCCTCTGGGAGGTCAAGATGAGCTTTCAAGAGGTAACAAAATTTAGTGATATAAAGTGAGATCTGAAAGGTAACAGGAAGTGGTCAGAGAAAGGAGAGAAGTAGCATGTGTCTCATGCAGAGGGGATAGTATGTTCAAAGGCCTCAGGCAACTTGACGCAACTTGGGAGTCTTCTTCAGGAACTGGGTCTACAGTTACTGTATGGAGTCTCACATATCCAACAGCATTGCAGCAGCTGAACAAAGGAAGTCTTGTGCTAATAATGCTTCTTATTGACCTTATGGCCTCAGTTGGAGTGTTATAATTTTCTTCCTCCTTTTGTACACGTTATTGACAAATTCTATACATGTGGCATACCACCTATATACCTATTCAGATTCAAAACAGCTCAAGAGGGCAGGAAAAACAAATCTAGCTGAAAAGTGGGCAGTCTCACAGCTGAGTTAATAACTTTAGAATTTATGTGTTACACAGATTTGGGGGGTGGTTAATATGGATTGAACCCAGGAGTGATCTACCACTAAGCTATATACCGAATCCTTTTTAAAATTTTATTTTGACACAGGATTTCACTAAATTGCCTAGAAGTTCTCAAACTTGAGATTCTCTTGCCTCAGCCTCATGAGTTTCTGGAATTCACAGGTTACACACATATTTCTTGACAAGCAATGTATCTTCAAGTAGTATATACTCTAAATGTATCCATAAATACTCCTTGCAAGTTTACATGGTCAGATCTCTCAATTCCTCCCTGCTCTCTGCTACATATTTGGGAGAGAGGAGTATGTAATTAAATCTTGTAGAAATAGTTGGGCTTTTATTATTTAAAAGTATTTTATTACTAACTGATCTGTTATATAATGTTGTTATTAATCAAAATGTGTTACTTTTCTTTAGTGCTATCATATATCTCTTCTGACATGAGTTCAACTCTGCTGAATTTTAACACAATTTTTCTCATGCTTGAGAAATTCAATTCAAGATGGTATTAAATTTTTGCTTTTGAAATGTAACAGATGATACAACTGTGGGACAGCCTATCCCATTCAAGTCCTACTTTTGTTCTCTAAATATTCTAAAAACTTACAAGTAATGATCACATACATGTTGATATATTTAAGCCAGTGAGCCTGTATATTTTTATTATCCCTTTAATTAAAGCCATTAGTTTACAGATGATTAATAATGGCTTCTATATCTGATAAGGATAGTGGTATCAATAAAACCTGAATTTAAGGGATATCAAAACAAACATAATCTTCCAAAATTCCACTATGTTCTTCTGGAAAGGATTATAATTTTTTTCTTTCCATAAAACAGGGATCAACAATTCAACTATTCATGTATTTCAAAATGTTAACCTGAGATTATCTGAGGTCAGAAGGAGCCTAGGTAGGTAACCCAAATGGGTGAGATTCTCATGACATAATAAAAATTTATACTTTGATTACATTAAATATTGGCAACTTTTTCAGCTTTTCAAATGGACTACAGGTGCATGCCTGTAATCCCAGTGGCTCGGTAGGCTTAGACAGGAGCATCATGAGTTCAAAGCCAGCCTCAGCAAAAGCGAGGTGGTAAGCAATTCAGTGAAACTCTGTCTCTAAATGAAATGCAAAAATAGGGCTGGAGAGGCTGGGGATATGGCTAAGTGGTCAAGTGCCCCTGAGTTCAATTCCCGTACCCACCCCCATCTCCACAATGGACTAGTATAGTGAAAGCCTAATGAAATCTATTGAGTTTGTTTCTTTGGCCCAAAGACCGTTACTTTTCGCCATCTGCCATAAAGGAATATTCCACTTTGCACACATGAGCTTTTGAACAAAAATAGTTATTTTATCTCCTGACTCTTGAATTTCAATGCCAATGCAAAAGAGTAGCAGTATTTGTACTTTCAATTAATAAACATGAGGTTTGTGGTAGAATAACTAGCATATGTGCCATATTTGTAGTACTTTTAGAAATTATTGGTAACTCTTGGGAATTCAATGCCTACCACACAACAATTGCAATACAACAGGATCTGCCTGAGGAAGATGGGAGGTTCTTATTCTTGCATGGCTGACCCCCTGTAGGATTGGTGGCACTTTTCTCAGTGCCAGATGTGCATCCAGGCCTTCATAGACGATATTATTTTAATTTATCCCAGCCAGTTCCTATAAATTCTGCAACCAAGTTTTATACTGTTCAGATACTCCATACTCTGTGCCCAAATTTTACATTCTGTGGCAGTTATATGTTGAACAACATACTATTAAAGGAAAATGAATCTAATTTTCTCCTAACATAATAATGGTGCCCATTTTTACATGAAACAAACATGTATAAAAAACTTTCCCCTTTGCATTTGGATGCATTTAAAGGTAAACATTAAAATGTTTGTCTAGGCAGGGTGCAATGGCACTCCCATTGTCCCAGCTAGTTGAGAGATTGAGGCAGGAGATGACTCGAGCCCAAGAGTTGGAGACCAGTCTGGGCAATAGCAAGATCCCATTTCAACATTAAATAAGTAAATAAATAATGTCTGCCTGCATAAAAATCCAAGATTCATGTATTTCAAATGTTAACCTGAGATTATCTGTGGTCAGAAGTAAGGATCAACAAATTCCTCAGACAATGGTAACTAAATAAGTCTGTTTTATTTGCTTTCAGCATGGTAATGTTGATTTTTCTTAACTTACATTACTCTACATTGGAAACACTAATAATAAGTTAAACTGTAAACATACTATTAAAAGAAAAGTATTTTTTTAGTCATAAGGCAAAATCCACAATAATCAATTGCCTGTATATTTTCCTCTCTTTCAAATTTCATAATATAGAATCAGTAAATTCATAAATCATATTGGTGATTGCTTGGCTTATTCCACTTCCCAACTTGGCTGTATTTTTTATCCAACAAATATATCTAAGTTGCCTAAGATATAGAAATAGGTTAAGTAATCAATTGGTACACTCCTTCCACTTTCGTTTTTTTATTTTTAATTATTTTTATTATTATTACTATCATTATTATTACTTGTAGTACTGGGTATTGAACTACATCCTCAGCTCTATTTATTTATTGGTAACAGGGATTGAACTTAGGGACCCTCAACCACTGGACCACATCTCCAGACTTTTTTATATTTTATTTAGAGACAGGGTCTTATTGAGTTGCTTAAGACCTTGCTAAGTTGCTGAGGCTGGTTGAACCCACAATTCTCCTGCCTCAGCTTCCTGAGCTGCTGGGAATACAGGCATGTGCCACCATGCCCAGCTCCTGGCCCTATTTATTTTATTTTGAGACAGAGTCTCCCTAGATTGTCCAGGATAGTCTCCAACTAGGGATCTTCCTGCCTTAGTTTCCCAGGTCACTGGAATTACAGGTGTGTACCACTGGGCACAGCTAGTTTTTAAAAAAACTTTCAGATTTAAAACATTCACAGAGG